TTCCATCAGCCGTGCAGCCATTGCGGATGCCAGAATGACGTCGTCGGTGATGCTGATGCCGACGAGTCGTCGCAGTCTGGCGCCGCCCACGGTTACCGCCAAGGTCAATTCGCTGCGTCGTCCACAGCAGCAGCAGCAGCAGCTGGCCACGCCCAGGACACGCATCTACCACGAGACGGCGGTGCAAACGGCGCTGACCAGCGAGGATCTGGAGCAGGTGCTGGGCGGTGGCCTGCTGCAGACGCGTGCCTTGGACGCCGTTGAACAGCTGGATCAGAGCACACAGGCGGAGCCGGATCAGCGCGATCATGAGCTGGAACAGCTACGCCAGGAAGTGCGTCAGCTCAGCGGCAAGCTGCAGCGCGAGCGCGAGGAGAAGCTGGCCATGCAGCAGGAGCTGCATCTGAACACCGAGCGTGTCATGGGCATGCTGGAGCTGGCGCGCGTGGTCAGCGCCAGTGCGGGCACGCCCACCTCCGAGGATAGCGGCGATGGCAGCGGCCATGACAGCCTGCTCATGCTGGAGTCACAGATCCAGATGAGCGGCCACGAGCTGATCGAGCGCCAGCAAGAGATTGGACAGCTGCGCGAGCTGTGCCGCGCACTGCAGCAGGAAATGCGTCGCTCGCTGGCCACGCAGCAGCTGCTGTTGCAGGAGAAGGCCGCCATTGAGCAGGAGTCAAGCGAGCTGCAGGATTTTCTCCAACACGAAAAGGCCGCCCAGTGCGATGCGCTGCGTGAGCTGGAGACAGAGTATCTGGCAGCCAAGGCGCAGCTGGCCAATCGCGAGGAGGAGGCCAAGGTGTTGCGCGACGAGTGTCGGCATCTGGTGCGCCTCAACGAACAGCGTCGCCAGGAGAACCGCCTGCTGCAAACCAAGTACGCGGCCCTGGAGAACAAGTCCCGAGAGCTGATACATCAGCAGAATGCGGCTGTGGCGGGCGCCTCGACGGCCTTGTCGGGTCTGCATGCACGGCTGGACAGTCTGGTCGAGCAGCTGGTGTGCTCCTATAGCATTTCCGAGCAGGATTTGGAGGTGAGTTGTGATCACCATTTTGTGCAGGACTTCAACTAAAGTTTTCGCGCGCAGGACACGCGTTTCCAGGCAGAGTCGCTGGCCGTGGAAACGGAGCACGCCCAGAACGGCCACAAGCCCAACGGCTTGGATTTGCCTCTCAGTCCAGCGTTGCCAGGCGATGCGTTGCACACCTTGGTGCTGGCCAGCGACGGTTCGCTGTCGCCGCAACGCAATCAGTCCTTCATAGCCGCCGTCATTGGTGCCATACGCCAGGCCACCACCCACTCGGGCAAGCGCCTCTCGCTGCGGCAGGCGGGCAAACGGCATGGCCAAGCGGCAGGCTCGGGAGCAGTCGCCGGCGCAGCACATGCCACGACAATGCTCAACAGCAACGAACAGGCCAATCTTAATGGCAATGGAGGTGAGTACCTGTTGACCATATGTAATCTATATAATAACCAGCCTATATCCTGCTTCATAGACGATTCCGATTCCACGGAGATGCTAGACTCTGAAACGGAGGTAAGTCCAGCTGCAATCGATCTGTAAACTTACTTGCTCACATATATTTCTTGTTGCTTGCAGCCTTGCCTGCTCATGATGGACAATGTGCTCGAGGATGTTGTGCAGCCGGACTCGCACTCACACAACATGGTCTCCTCCTGCACGGGCATGATCTCTCAAATCGAGCTGCCCACGGAGCTGGTCAGCCAGTGCAGCCAGCAACAGCCGGCTGCAGCTGCAGCTGCAGCTCAAGGCGATGATTCACTGCAGCAGCTGTCACAGGCCATCACCAACCGACAGCAGATGGAACTACACGTACACAAGCTCAGCGTGCTGCCCAACAGGTAAGCTGCACAGTTTACCATTTAAAACCTTTCACTTCTGCAACTGGTCCCGATGCAATGTACTGCATCCCACCTGCCGCTCTACAGAGCGAGGGCAATGTCAAATGCAAACTAAGACTATAGGGGCTTAGACTATCTCTTGCTTAATAGTTTTGAATATTTGACTTTAGACGAGTAAGAGAAGGCTCTGCGTAGCAATCTCTGTAATGTTTGCTGTCATTATCGCAGAGGTTCATGGGAGGCATAGTTAAACAAAATTTAAGCAATATGTAGTAGGGAAAGTGAACTTTTAATTGGCCAGTACATCCAGTTTAAATAAAAATGGAAGATTTATCATCAAAAGTCTACTGGAGTATGACGGTAACCGCACACAAGGATCCAAGCGTAACCAACAAGAATTTCGGTACAGATTCAATTCGGATTTAAAAAGGATCTTTCTCGTGAACGGATCGTCCAACTCCATACATCATTAATGTCGTCTTGTAAAAGGTGACCCCATGACCCCATATTCCTATATGTAAGGCACAACTAAACATTTTCAACACACATCAATACTCGAGAGTGAAACCATATCGAGGGAAGAGAAAAGGATAGGGAATAGGAATCATTTTGGAATCAGTATGGAGTAATAAACGTTCTGGATTATATTCCTTAAACCATCAAACACTAGGGTTCATCCCCCATGTTTGGAAAGTGAAATAATAGAGCCGGATATATGTTGCAGTTGAGATGTTACGATACTTTTAAAGGGAATTTGGATAGTTTGGATAATTTGGAAATACGTCAATAGTTTTGGAATGATTAACGATTTTTTCCGTATGGCCCAAGCAGCAATCGCGATCAGTGCAACACGGAGGAGCTCAGCTGTCATGACTCGTTGGCCGAGTTGCCCTCGTTGATGGAGTACAGCACGGCGCAGGCGGTGGTCGATCAGGTCATTGAGGTGGACACGCTGGTAACCAAACTGCTGAAGGTGCTGCGACTTGTGCAGCTGGACAACGACAATTGCATACAGCAGCTGATCCTGGACAAGTGAGTGGAATACAAACGGAACCGGGAAATTTGATTCACGCTGGAATTTAATGATCTTACAGAAACAAGCTGCAACAGCATAAAGAGGATATGCTGGAGAAGCTAAAAGACTTGGAGGATGTCAATCTGAAGCTGCAGGACGAACTCATGGACGCCACCCAAGAGCTGATGATCAAGGGCAGCGATTTGAGCGGCGCCAAGGCTGAAATGCAGCGACATCGCAACGAAATCGACGTAAGGTTTTAGCCACGTTCTCTAGTAAACGAATTATTTTTGGACATTAATTTTTTTTTTGTTGTGTTGCGCACCCTTCGAAGACATTTCTATATATCGTTTATCGTTTAGTCGCCAGATATATAATCATATGTTAAGCACGCACAGTCGATGCAGCCGATCTTATCTTATTTTAATCGTAATTTTAGTCACATCTATTATTTGATTTAGAATAAACAGAACTCTTGGCCTAAATTATATTATATTTGAGTTGATGCATCGTATCGGTCTGATCAGAATTCGTCATCTATCTGTATAATTTCTTGTACTTTGTTTCTCATGCCAACCATTTGTACACCTCATTCGTATTCATCAACGGACAGTCACAAATCAAGTTCAAAAACGCACTCTTTCGTTTCAATTGAAATCCGTTTAACTAATTGCCATAACGCCCCTGATCCTGCTGCTGTTGCTGTTGCTGGTACTTCACCTGTTCCTGCTTGCCTTCCTGCTTTTGCCCGCTGCTGTTTCTGACAGCGCCTCAATGAGGATATCTGCACGCTGAGCACACTCTGCAGCAGCTACAAGAAACTGTCGCCCACCACAGAGTTTCCGCCCATGCAGCTGCTGTCGCCCAACCAGGCGCCCGAGCAGGGCGACGTCTTGGGCATTCTGAATCTGTTGAAGATGTGGCATACGGACGGACAGCTGCATGATGCGCGTGTCAGCAGCTATTTGCGCAGCGTTTGCGGCAATCAGCTGACGGTGATTGGGACTTTCTCTTCTTATTGATATCCAACATATAATCATCATCATTCATTCACCGATCAGGTCAACACTGTGCCGCATCAGGACAACAACTATGTGGAACGTCTGCGCATCTATGCCAACCAATTGGAGCATGTGACTCGCGTCCTGGACGACTGTCAGTGCCTAGAAGATCATACGACACTACAGCAGCTGCGTCGGGACATGGAAATCGTGCGTCTCAATGCCAACTGGACGCAGCTGTTGGAGCTGAACGAGGAGCGGGATCACAATGCGAATGAAGCGGATGTGCCCACGTCCAGGTCTTGAATTGTGTCAAATTGTTGTTAATTATCTACTATTAGTACTTAAAAGTTGTTCAATTCCACGTAGTTAGAAACGTTAGCGTCCAGCTCCAGGCAACTAAAGCCGCAGTTTATTTTGCTATTGGAAAGCCATTAATCAAATAGGATAACCTAATTAGAACTATTTCAAATTTCAATTTTTTTTTTCAAAAATATCTTCATGTTTTTTGCTATAATTATGCGATAGCTAATTGGGAAGAATAGATATTTTGGGCAAGTCGAACAGTAAATACCTTTGTAGATAGGATTTATATTCAAGCGAGGTCAGCCTAGAGAAGTCAGATGTGAGAGTATGTGAGAAGCATAGTCAAACTCGTAGTTGCTGGGCCTAACTGGGACACCTTGGCAGACATATTTTAGCCAATTTTTCCTTACCAGTATGATATTTTGTCTTTCTAAGAATTTGCTCGTTTAGTAAAAGCAGTAAAAACATTGTCGAGCTCAAGATATCTTGAACTTAAATTGCTGATCAATCGATCCTATGTCATTTATATGATAAAGTAGTCCGACGCTTAGAACCGATCGAGATATATAATTTCGCTTAAGAAATTGCACATTCTGTGGCAAAAGTAGCAAACCCTTCTCTACAAGGGTATCAAAAGAGTTTAATTTAGTTTGCGTCCAAATTTTCGCTGCATACTTTCGAGCGCGCTGTCAGATTTGTGTTGCATACATTTGGGCAACAGGCTGCATTTAGTGCCATGCATTTGAAAAGTATTATTAAAATTGTTTGAAGGCAGCATTTGGGGCATGGCTTGATGATTAAAAGACGACTTGTTTTTGATTTTGTTTCGATAGAAAGTTGTTTGTATAATACACGTACAATAAATAAGCATAAACTAAATGTAAAAAAAAGTTAACTAATTTTGAAAAAAACAATTTCGCACAATTTTTGTAAAATCCCTTGAAATGGTATTATATGGTACTATATGCTAGATATAAGTCTATAAGTATGGGCATATATATATATATATATATAACATGTACTCGTATATGGTATATATGTGTATATATGTATGTATGTATGTATGTATGTAGGTATATATATATATAGACAGCTATAAGTTGCGGCCGCCGCGTTTGTCTTTTATGCGTGTGCTTGTCGTCTTTACAATTACAAATAATCTCACAATGTAGGTTCAGGTTGGATGAGGGTTCGGCATAGGCATAGGAATAGGGTTAGGGCTGGGGATTCCTTGCTAGCTAAAAGGAGGGCTTGCTGCTACCAATGCTGCGTGCGGGCAGGCTGTTTGTGGGATTGTCGCGCGCCTGCGAGTGGGCGACGACAATGCTGAGGCACTGCACCCATTCCTCGGCGTTTTTGCCATCCTTGGGCTTGAGTATTAGGGTCTGATCGGCCGTGAAGATCTCAAAGGCTTTCGGTATGTTGCGTGCGCCGCGTGAAACCTTAACGGAACGTATTTGATTCACATCGATGCTCTCGCCGCCGCTCTGAAAATGGCTTGGCTTTTAGTAGGCTGTCATTTACAGGGATTTGTATTGGACACTTACGGATCCCTTGCAGGACAGATGTGCGCCCGATAGCGTAAAGTAGCGTGTGCGCCAGCGCCTAAATAGTCGCCACTTGCCCTTCTTCTCCTTCAGCTGACCCTCAATCATGGGCTGATTGCTGCCATTGAGAAAGCCCACCGCCTTGTCCGGATGATTGCACAGAAAGCAGCCCCACTGATACTCCAGCTCATTGCAATTGGGATTGGACTTGTCCGTCTTGGACACCTCGAACACATCCAGAAAGCCCGAATGACGCAGCTCATTCACAAGTATCTCGCGGTCCTATGGAAGGGATCAAATGAGTTGAGCCAAATATTTATATTTAAATATTCTCAACCTACCTTGACCTGGGGAAACTGACTGGTGACCAGCTCGGTGAAGCTGCGATTCTCGCACTTGAGTATCTGCCAGATATTCTTTAGGTTGCTGATGCCCGGCTCTCGAGTGCTGAGCACACATTTCTCCTTGACCTAAAGGAATCACAGGAATGTCCATTAGTGGAAAGATCGATTGGAACATCGGGCTGTCACTTACAAAGTGTCGCACTTGAAAGTCAAGGAATATCATGTGTATCCAGGTCTTGGGATTGCGTGTGCGCATCGTAAAGCACGTCTTGGAGTATAGGCAATGAGGTCCACGTATCTGGCAGGCGAAATGCAGCTTGGCCACCTTCTTCCGGCGCTCTGCAAATTCATTGGAAACTGTGTGATGTGTGTGTGTGTGTGAGTGTGTGTGTGAGTAGTTGAACAGGAGAGCACAATGGAGAACGGCAGAGAGAATAAGTAGTCGAAGGGTGCATAATTTAATGGAAAGACTTACCCTCAATGCTGCAGCGCGTCGGTGGCGGCAGGTGTTGCGAGACCTCGTCCATATATGACTTGATCGAGATGAAGTTCTTCTCGCAGAACTGCTGCACGGGATCACGCATTATCTGATATGGCTCGAAGGTGCTCATGCGCTGATCCATCACGCTGTTGGCATTCAGCAGGGTGCGGCTGGTGTTGTCGCTGCGTCGCGGCGCCACATTGGTGGTGGTTGTGGGGCCCGAAACGATCACCTCGCTCTGCATGGTAAAGGAAGAGTTTAACAACAGATGTGGAGTGGAGCTGGTTTGGGTATTAGGTACATTGCCATTAACGGGTAGCTTCATGACGGACTTGGCATTGCCATTGCTGAAGGATTGCGGCACAGCTGGCGATGCATGATGCACGGAGACTGCGTTCGCAGCACTCGCCGCCGCTGCCGCCGCCGCCGCTGCTGCTGCTGCTGTCGAGGCTGCCACGGATTGCGGTATGGATATGGAGCCGACGGATTGATTCAGTGCATCTGTGCTGTACTTCATCAGCACCGTGCTGGAGTTGAGCAGCGTCGAGGGTCCCTGCGAGTGCGGACGCACCTTGGACGGCGACGTGGTGACGGTGACACCGCCCGAGGTCACCGGTATACCGTGCTTATTGTGCCCGGTGATGATCACATCGTTGCTCAGCGGCGGCACCGGCGTCACGGGCGGATTACTTGGCGACGTCGGCGTCTTGGGCATGGCGCCCGTCTGAACCACAACATTGCTGTTGGAGCTGCCGCCCGGCTGTTGATTGATTTGTGAGTTGCTCAGACGCGTCATGCTCTTGTGCAGCCCCCCAACCGAACCGCTGGCCACATTGAGCCGCGTGACGCTCCTGTGTGTATTGCTCGCGGGATGCAGGCGTCCAGTGCTGCGGGAGTCGCCCAGCTTAACGCGTCGCGTGTAGCCCGTATGTGGAGGTGTGGGCGTGGCCGTGGCAACGGGCACAGCCGCTGGCGTTGAGGTGGCCACTGGCGCGGGCGCCGCACTGGGCGTGGCGAGCGTGGCGTTAACCGCGCTCGGCTGCGGCACAATGTTGGAGCTGCTGCTGGCGGGCGTAGCAGTTGGAGCTGTAACATGCAAGGCAATCAATGGAGATTTAACTGGAGGGCGCGCTCGATGCACGTACCTGGCTTAATCTGTGTGCTGGTGCTGGCGCTGGGGCTGGAGCTGGGACTGGTGCTGCTGTTGAGGCTAACAATGGTGATACCGCCAGAGATCTTGTTGCCCGCGGCATTGCCCACGTCATGCTGGGAGCTGAGCGCCGCATTCTTTTGGCGCACACAGGCGAGCACCTTGTCCGTGAAGAGCACGGGATAGGCGGAGCAGAGTCGCGTCGCCTCCTGCTGCAGCAGCGCCTGGGCGGGCAGATGCTCGAGCACAAAGTCCAGCGCCTGCTGTGCCGTCTCCTTGCTGCCAATGCCGGACGTGGTCAATATCTGGGCGCACAGCGTTACGGTGCTGGGATTAGTCTTTGCGGCCAGACGCAGCTGCTCGAAGTGCTCGACCAGCAGGTGAGGAGCATGCTGCGACAGCTTGAGTAGGATTTGCATGGTGATGCTGGAGGTGTCGCTGTCTTGGAGGAAGTCACATAGCTGCGGCACACACGACTCCAGCACCGCCGGTGACTTCTGCACAATCAGCAAATAGAGCTGAAAGACTGCCATGCGCTCCTGGGCATCGCATTGGGGCAGCAGTGGAATGAGCAGCGGCGCGTGCGGCGTCACCGTCTCTGGGGACACCTCGTACACCTGGGAAAGCACGCGCAGCAGGCCATAGTTGCCGGAGAGTATGGAATCCATGATGGGATCCATGAAGTCTATCAGCAAATAGGCATAGTCGATGGCGGCCAGGGACAAGTAGCTGGCTAGATTTCGTGACAGCTCCTTATTGCCCTTGGGCAGGAACTGCACGGCAATGGGCAGCGCAATTTTCATCAGTTCTTTCTTATCATAGTTCTACGAAGGACAGGAAAAGAGTTAGAGAAGGTTTCCAATTTGTTTGATCACGTTGCGGACTCACTAAAAATATGCTAGATACAATGTCGGCGGCGATCTTGGCATGCGGCGGCTCCTCCTTGGTGGCAGCCACCGGCTGTAGATTCCACAGCAGACACGTCTTCAACAGATCCACCAGAGCTGCGCAATAACGCTCCGCGCTGCGTGTCTCCCGTATGCAGGAGAGAACCCGTGTGACACAGATCTCCACCACGCTCTGATCATTGTTGTTCTTCACATAGTCCGCATGCGAGATGATGGGATTGATTTCGGACAGCTATAAAGAAATGTGGCAATAAGAGATTGGATAAGATTGCCCGGCTCATGCGGAACTCACCACCTCCGTTATGTCATTGACAATGTCCGCATCGGGCACCGAGAACAAGTCCCCGGCTCGGGACAGATCGCGCTTGGCGAGCACTTTTGTGAACAGTTCGTGCATCTCGAAAGCGTCGTGGCCTCGTCTTCCACGGGTCTAGTCAATCATTGCCTTGGGCAGCCTGCAATTGGATGGCACTTTTGGAAATTAGCTTGCCACTCTGTATTTGCTTACGCATTTCTATGGCAGCGCATTTTCATTGCCAGCTTCGCGTTTTGGCCCTGTGCCAGAGTTCAGGCGCCGCTCGCAGCGATTTTTTATCTTATCGCCTGGCACTGGGAATGGGAATGGGAATGGGAATGGGTCGGGTAAAGGGTGAGCAAAGCGAACTCGCCTAAACACAGCCAAGTCAAATGCAACCCAACATTTCTCCACTTGACTAAATATTTGCTGCAATAACTTTTTGCATTTACTTGCCCTCTCCACTTCTCCCTGTCTCGCTCACTCGCTCTCTTCTGTCCCGCTGCCACTTCCAGCCAAGCGTCTGGCTAGATGCAGTCACCTCTGCTGACTATACGGTCTTATATAAATAGATATACTCTGTGGCCACCAAATACTTGTTGCATTGTCTCCATGCGAGACACTCGACCAGCGCTTGTCTCGCCAAAAATTCCATTTACACTCGTCAACAAAATTCAAGCCGCACTGGGTTTTCTTCATACTTCATATTCTAACTTACATTCAAATGGGAATGGGTATTACAAAGTCGGTTACGCCCTTTCTGCGTCTTCTTGTTTTTTTTTTGCTAATTGATTGGATTTTCTATGTTGTGGCCGGGTTTCTCGACAAATTGGAGTATAAACCATTTATTGCCGCAAAAAAAAGACTCCATAACTATAAATGATATTAAGCCCACAATTTCTTATCACAAATAGTGCTTATCAGCTCGGGTTTTATGGGCATTGTAACTGACCTTTTAGTGGGCTTCAAATAAACACAAACATTGCACTTGCCGTCATACTTATGGGATACATACATATGTACATATATATTTCCCAGCACTTCGAAATCTTTCAAGAAGTTTATACTCCCGCTGTTGGTCAAGGCTAACTGTACTGACCATGCATATATACTCCATATATATATATATATATATATACACACTGATATATGCACATGTATTGGCTTGTATATTCAACTGATTCGGCAGATTTTGCATATGCATTAATTGCGCAGAAGGTAATGAAAATCGCGTTTGCGTTTTGAATATTTGTGTTCTGTTTCGTGCGGGGATTCCCTGGCTGGCTGCTCAACTGGGAACTGAGAGCCGAGAACTGAGAACTCTTTGCAAAGTGTTCGGTGCAAATAAACACATGGCAATTGTTTGCTCTGATATGACAGACCTCTCGACGGCCGACACTCGTTTAAGGTGAACGACAAAAAGTTGAAGCCAAATGATTCTCGGCCAAGTGTGGAATGCACTTTGCTTGACTGCGAATTAGATTTTGATTAGATGCGCAGAATTCCACAGCGAGGTGGGTTTTTGCTTGGGCTGTTGGGATTAAGACTTAAGCCCTAAGACGGCTCACACAGTGGAATTTGCTTTGTGGGCGCTGAAAAGTTTCACGTCATGATTGACGCTGTCTCACGCTCCGTCTCTTTCTGCTCACTCTGCTTGTGAGCTATGGCTGCGGCCATCAAGGAAGCGACGCCAACGCGTTGCGGATTATTAAATTTTCAAATAAAAACCAAAAGTTGCATAATCCATAGAGGCCTGGGCATGACCAGTCAGCCAGCCAGCCAGCCAGCCAGCCAGCCAGTCGACCAGGCAACAGCCAACAGCCAAAGAGCTCTGCACGCGAATTGCAGACGCAGACGGCGACAAGCGGGACGGACATTCGCTTCCTGGAAACCGGGACAGTCGCAGCAGTTTGTTGTTGTTGTTATATTATTGTGTGTGTTTGTTGTTATTTATGGCTCATTCGCGCTCAGGTTGCAGCAAAGAAACTGGTTAAAAAATAAATAAAGAGGCAGCAACAAGTCGCAGCAACAACAACAACAACAACTTTGCGCGCGCTCGAGAGAAAATTAAAAGAGAAATAGAAATACACGTATATATAAGTATAAGTAATGGATGATGATGATGATGATGGCGTTGGCTAAAACATAAACCGAAACCGGTGCGGCAGGTTAATACACAAGCAGCCAGCCCAGCCAGCCAGCCAGCCAGCCAACCAGCCAGCCAGCCAGCCAGTTAGCCAGCGAGTCAGCCCGTATAAATACAAATACAGCAGGAAGAACGGCTAACTTTTGCACACCGAAGATGGCATACTCTTGGAGACAAATGCTTTTATATAAAAGCTACAATCAACAGAAAACCATATTATATAATAGTCCGATTTGATACTGTTTATGTTAGGAGCAAGATGAATATTAATATGCTGGGCTTGTTGAAGATCTTCGGAAAATACAACAAAATATTGCTTCTCCTCCTCCTCGTAAAGAGCTCTATGATATCGTCTTCACATGCAAGGAGCATAGGATCAAAACAGGCTGCGAGATTAGTTTGCAAACAAACAGAAGAATATTTTCGATACTGATCAGCCACATATATAAATGACGCGCCCAGATACAACTTGTAAGCGTTACAAATTGAGAGACAAATTTCGAATACCCTCTGAAACGACAGGGCAACATGGAGCAGGCGGAGAAACGGATTTTGTAGTGTTGTCTCGGAGAGAGAAGCTGACGAACAAATCACATAGATCGCTGGACACAAATTCTGAGTTTCGGCTTGCCTGAACCGAAATGACAGAGTTCAGCAGCGTGAACAGCATGAGAACCAGTTGACATTTTTGGACCATGTGCAAATGACTCAATTTGCATAGATGATGCGATCCGAGCTGTAGATAGATATTCAAAGTGGGAAAGAGAGAGACAGAGAGAGATAAAGAGAGTGAGAGAGAGAGAGAGAGAGAGGGCAATGGGCAGCCAAGTGACAAGGCTTTGGTTATACGATCGTTAGCCCAGCTGCCACCCCCCCTCCCCCCTATCCCCACGCCTCGCAGTCTCAGATGACGAACATAATAAACCATTCGACACACGGTGCGTATACGTATTGCAATTGCAATGCCAATATTTCGATTTGTACTCGCATTGCGTGCAAGCCAAGCCAAGGCAAGGCAAGGCAAGTGTTTTGTTCTTGTTTGCGCATTCCTGGTCACAGTTATTTGCAATTGTTGCTGTTGTTGTTGCAAATACCTGGCCTTAGGGAGCGTCAAGTGTCGTGCAACTGGCCAAGATGCAAGTTGCAAGTTGCAAGACGCCGTCTCCGCGCTGCCATTGAGCTGCTCGACTCGAGTCACAGTCATAGCTTAAGTTTTCTTCATGTCTTAGCTTTAGTTAGACGCGTTGTTGTTGTTTTGTCTGGCAGAAACTCGTTTTGCGGTCTGGCTTTGGCTTATGGCCACCCTACGCAGGCGCAGAGGCTGTCATTGTCGCAGCTAGGTAATAGATTCTTCCAGAGAATCGAAGATATGTAGGTTGCCTACGCTAAATTCAGCAGCTTTGTCAAGCATACTCTACTCTCTTGATCAGGCATCTCTACTTTTTGGATTAATATGCATAAAATGTGGCAACTTGAATGGGTTTAGTTGAATGTCTTCATACATATACAGCTCTTTGTCTTGAGCTAGATCTTGGAAAATTCCATTGGCGAATGTGGCACAACTAAGGAAAATGCTTGCATTACGCTTTTTGGCTAAATCCAATCAGAATATGTCGAGCCCATTTTTCAGTGATCTTTTTTTTGAGAATTGTTTGAAGTTATTTATGAAAAAGTCTGAGTTCCTCCTCTACTAAGACTGCATTTACATTTGAAATGTACATTTTAAGCCCAGTTTATTTACCCCCTTTACCTGTTGTCACATCTCTATGGTCGTTTACTTAGTTTAATCTATGACACAGCTGTCCATACAAATTGTTTGGCAAATTTATTAAGCCGCAGCGTGAGAACCCAAGTAAAAAGAAATTAGCATTGAAAAAAAAAAAAATCACCGAATTTATGTTATCCACTCATCACAGATATACCCTTGTGCATGTGTGTGTGTGGACACGGTTATACATAAGTAAATACAACATCAACACGGTAATCCGAGCCAGACACAAGCTAAGCAGGGGGGGTGGAAGGGGATAGGTACACGGCGGGGTCTTATGGGCTTTTAGGGGCGTGGGGACGACGTGTTGAAAAATGAGCGGCGCGTGAAACTTATTAATGAAAAGAGCCGCAAATAAAATGCTGCGAATTAGCGCAACAACAACAACAGCAGCAGCAACAACAGCAGCAGCAAAAATCACAGCACATAAAAATGAAAGAAAAAAAAAAGGATTGAAAAGAAAACGAGGTGTAGAAAAGAGTCGCACAACAGAAATCCTAAAACACTTTGGCACATATTTATAATGCGCGTTTTTAATTAGCTGCGTCTCGCCTCCTGCGGCCATCGAACAGGTAGATAAGCTGCGGCTTTGTGGCGTCTCTAAGCGGAGATCGCTTTAACGGTAAACGTTGGACTTACCAAAATTGCATACTCTGTCGACCATATACATATACATATATATGTGTGTGTCTGTGCATGTATTGCGGGCCCAGGCAGACACAGCTGGTTCATATCAGGGAGCTGAAACTGGTCGAAGCCGAGACTGAATACAGCGCCAAACCAGATACGCGCTCTCGCTCGCACACACTAGCTCTCTCTCTCTCTCTCTCTCTCTCTCTCTCGCTCGCTTGCTGGCTCTATGCTCTGCTGAACGGGGGGCGGGGGGCGCAGCGCAGCTATGAAAAACACTTGAAAAGGCACGAAAAAGGTAGACGACGACTTTGGTTATTGTTGTTGTTGTTGCTGCTGCTGCTGCTGCTGCTGCTGCTGCTGCTGTTGGTGAGCTGTCGGCCAAGTCAGCCGCACAGCCGCCGTTGCGCCGTTATTGTTGTTGCTGTTGTTGTTGTTGTTGCCGTTGGCTTTTGGGTGTAGTTCAATATGAATTTTATTGTTGCTGCTGTTGCCGTTGCCGATAAAGCAAAAAATTCAGCATTGCTGTTAACAATATATTTGTATGGCTTTTATATGTATATTTTGTATGTATTTATGCAAATAACAAAAATATTAAATGAAGCGAAAATTGTTTTGTTTTCGTTGCGTTTTTTTTTTTTTTTTGTTATTTTTAACACACTTTTTGCCACAATGCTTTTTTTATATTGCGTTGCCTTCTTTTCTTCTTTTGTATTTTTGCTAATCACATTTTGTTAACACACACACACACGCACGCGCACACACGCACACACACAACACACACACAGTTGGAGAGAGAGAGGGTAAACAGCGCAGACTAACCGACGGCTCATGCGCGCTGGCCAAGTCCAAGCAAACGCGTTTAGGCCAAAACGTAGACTGAACTGCCAGCACCAGTTGCCAGTTGCCCAGAGCTAAGGCCGTTTGCTGCCTGCTGCCGAACGAGCCAGTCGGCTCTCTCTCTCTCTCTCTCTCTTGCACTCTCTCTCTCGGAGTCTACCACGCTCTCGCTCTTTTTGGCTGGCGATCCCGATCTGGCAACTTGTTGTTGCTCGATTTTGCTCGTGCACACACATTTATCATGGTTTACTTTTGCGCTTTTCATTCATAAACAAAAAGCGCAGCGCGCATTGTTGTTGTTGTTCTGCTTCTCGTTTTGCCGTCTGCCTCTCACCTGTGCTCACCTGTTGAGCAGCCGGCGCAACAGCGACGCGTGTTGCCAGCCGCAATTGAAATGTTGCTAACGCAAATTTTTGAATTTAACGAACTTTTTGTAGAGTTGCCAATGTTGCATAAAACGTCGAAATGCAATTTAAATGAAGCAAATAATTATTGTAGAAAAATAAGTTTATTTAATCGAAAATAATCAAAAATAATCAAAAAAAAAGGAGTTAGCTATAATTTACTATTTTATGTTTCCTTCAATTTATCTGCTTGTATTTTGACAACAGATTTTTGAAACCAGGAAATGGGCAGTTAAATATGTATTTTAACTTCCAAAATCCACTTCCGCTTTTCCCTGCTCTGTCAACAATTTAGTATTTAGGAAACGGGAAATAAGCCAATTCCATTAGGTGCTGCACTTTTCGACTTTGAACAGCTGCACTTAACCGCAACTGGAAACTCAAGGTCGTTCGCAAAGCTAACAGTTTTGGTTAATTCTTATGGCCCTCGACATTGAAACTGTTTCGATGAGTCTATTAACAGTTGTACGCTAATGGACAGGTGAGCGTCCAAAGAACGCAGCACACGAGCTGCAATCTCATTCGAATTATTCGTATTCGTATGCGTATTCGTATTCGTTGGATAACCTGAGTCCGGTACCCAGCCCAGATTTTAAGTATATTTGCGTTGCAAATAGCAAGCGCCGCGTACTCAAAGCTCAGCCCGGGCCTATGTATGACTAAAGGTGACCAAGTGCGACCAGTACTACCGGATAGACAGCTCGACGGGAGCCTAGGGTAATACACTGTGAGCTTGCGGGGCGAGGCGTTTGTGTGTAAAAGATAATCAAATTTTATTAGGCATTATAAAGATCTGCTTCCGTATTGTCTACCATATATAAATAGCTTTAGTCTCTCTAGTTGTTGTTTAAAATCAATTCAGTTTGGCTGGAATATGAGTTCAGCTACGACTTAGGCATATTTGGCCACCAGACCCGCGACAAAGGCAATGTACTCCTTCTGTGCAGCCTCCGTGGACTTGCCCTTCTGCTTGCCCCAGGCCTCCCACTTGGCCTTGCCCTTCAGATCCAGCAGACCCGGCTTGCTGGTCTCATTGTCGCCGACGGTGGCCTGCTTGAAGAGGGCATAGAGCTCGAGGAACTCTTCATCGCTGGGGCGCTTGGTCAGAGACTTCACCTTCTCGGCGGCGGCATTGAATTGCTGCAAGATGAAACGATTTATTAATAAGCTGATTAGCCGATTTACAGCCAACGACAAACTGCTGATAAGCTTTTGGGTTATCAATAAAACGTATTGATAGGGAATACACTATCATAAATCAACAGGTATTTTTCCTGCCACTTACCTCGGTGAGGGACATTTTAGATTTGGATTTTAATCTGCAAATAAGATTTGAAAACTTAATAGTTTATGATGCAACATTAATTATAAATGGACTAACAAATGACAATGAACTTGATGGGAACTGCTGCTCGCGATGCTACCATGACGCGTCCAGTTTCCCAAAGCTACATTAATTGGCGGGCATGACAAATGGACTGCCGCCAAATTGTCTGGCCAGTTGAACTTTGGCACGCATCGCACGATGCGAACTTTGATAACTTTTGAGGTCGAAGCGCTTAGGAGACGCCGCTGAGCACAACTTTCACCAGGCAACAGCAGCAGCAGCAGCCGTTGTGGCATAAAAATAGAAATTAATTAATGAAAATTATGGGACAGCGTATGCGAGTAGCAAAAGATACAAATGTATCTAACGCATCGCGTGGCTCATAGATTTTGGCCAGTCAGCAAATACCGCCAGAAATGGCATTGGGCGTGGGCTGTCTACGTGCCAATCATACATATCATACGCCTTTTACGGATTAGTTGCTCGCCTCAAACACTTTGTCGTTATCTGCCTGAGCTTTTGTTTAATGTTATTCTTCTTTGTTTTTTTTTTTTGTCACATAACATTGTATAATATGTCGTTTGTAAGTTTATTGATAATGCGGCAAACACTGGTCGAATTTCGAGCTCGTTCGGCTCGGACGCACTTACGCTGGATTTGTTGTCTGGGCGGTCGTAGAACTCGGCACTGTCTGAATCCGAGTCTCGATTGGACTTTCAATTTAAGTCTTTTCGCCGCTCGCGATCGCGAGCGACACCGCGGCAAAGCTCTCGCGATTCTCGAAACTGGGAGCGTCCATGTCGCAAGCTTTCCCAAGTTCGTCGAGTACCATCTGCTCATTCGTCGCTCTGAGCACTCTGGAGCATTGGACAAATGTTGTTGGGATTTGGGTTTTAATCGTTTGGAGCAGCACCAATCATTTGCTGTGTGGTTCGAAGTGCGACAGCTCCTCTTCTAATCGCAATTGCAGCTAAAAATATAAATAAAAATTGCCGTTGTCACGACTTCACACTGCATGGCTCTCCAGAAGCTTCACTTATCGGCGCCAACACCTGGCGATTACGCGGCGTATACACAATTTAATTGGCCTCACTTACGTACGGTCACGTATGTATGCGGATTAACGGATTAATAAGCACTCCTATGGACTTTAAACAATGACCCCTTTTAGTGGTTTCACTGTACTTTTCAACCATGACAAACCCTAGCTAAAATGATTGCTCCCATTTTGAAATAACTCTATCCTTAGGTTCGGTTCGGTTCGGTTTTCCACATCCACAGGTTTTGCTTGTAATCTTTGTTACTCATTTGGTTCTTCTTAAACCAATTTAATCTTGCCCCTGTTCTACTGGAAGTATTGTGAGACATAGATATTTTCATGTGTTCGCTACAATTTAAACTTTTTTTACATTGAATTTCATTGAATCAAACCATTTTTCAGTTTTGGTTTGGCTTCCTTTTTGTTAGTTAGAATTTATCGTCTTTAAAATTGTTTTACAATCTACCATTTTGATAAACTTTCTGTCAAATTGCAAGATGTTCATAAATTTAGATTGTAATATAAGAAAATATAACGTACATATACAAACATTTAGATTTGTTTAAATAGGTAGCTAGAGCTGTTTTTCTAACCTGCATAGGGTATTAAATTAAAGCTTGAGTAAAAGTTTTAAATGCTTAAATAATACCCACAATAATCTATTTATTACTCAACGATTCAATAATAAATAGATTTATTGCTCAATGGCCCACGCATATATCGTCTCTTATACTTCGAAGAGTTCTATAATTTAGCCGTGGCATACTTTAGGGGATTCGACTCTGTCAACTTCCAGCGGATGTGACTAAGTTCTTATCAGACATTTTGTCAAGCTGAAAAACGCTCCAAGATTCGCTTTCATATTGATTCCAATTTATTTATAGTCTTTTTTTTACTTAAATTTGCAGGAAGTAAGCTCTTAAGGTGATAAATGACAATACGCACTTGACTAGCCATTAAATAGTTTTTTTTTTATGGTCAACATAAAATCATTGAAAAGCTCTCGCTGTAATTAGCTGATTTGGTTGATTATTTTTAAATGATTACGGGTTTATTAACGTTAATATAAAAATACAATAAATACATTTGTTAACAACGGGCAATTGTGGCATGAATATTTGTTTTTGTGATGGGTTCACAAAAATCAACTAATGCAAACTAATTGAAATGCACATTTTACTCGTATTTGGCGGCGTATTTCTTGTACACCTCGATGTAGTGGTTCTTGGCATCCTCGGCGGTCAGACCAGCCTTGCTCTTCCAGGCATTGTAGCGGGCCTTCTTGTCCTCCTCCTCGGGCTCCTCGATGTTGCAATCGCCAACGGTGGCCTGCTTATAGTAGCCGTAGAACTCCAGGAAGTCCTCCTTGGTGACGTTCTTGCTGAATGCCTTTGCCTTCTCAACGATTTCCTCAAACTGCAGCGTACAAGAAACGAGCAAAGTTAGTCTCCGGCGATATCCTAGTTTAATATATATGTATATATATTTTTTTTTTGTTTCTACTCACGGTCAACATGTTGGTGTTTGGTGGTTTGTTATGTTTGGCGAACGAAAACAATGTGTGCCAATTCGCACCACCGCATAGTTATATATAATGGGCCCAAACATAGAGCCAATTGTTATTGGTTAATCTTATCAGCCCAGGAGACTCACTTTTTTTTGTATTTCCCATTTCCATTGCCACTGCCACTGCCATTCTCAGGTCCCATTCCCGATAAACCCAACACACTCTAGACACATACATCATTCTATCTGATTGCCTATGCTGATTAGGCATAGGTGCTACTGGCTACTAGCAGAGGAAACAAAAAAACAAACTCGTACGAGTTTGCACTTGCAGTTTGCCAGAAATAATATTAGTAATACATATATTCGCAATCAGAGAGCTGAGTGTATGTAGAGATATGAATATAGTCAACTTATGCACTCGAGCGATAAGATTAGCATGAATATTTTATGAGTGTTCAACGAATATACTTTATCGAAAAAAAAAAAATAAATAAAACGATGTATGAAACAAGTCAATCCTGTCAGTCACTAAAGATAAACTGGACGACTTAATTAATGAGTGCTGCTAGTGGTGGGGGCGGCGGGGCCACAGTTCACAGCCACGTCACCGCGACAGAAAACCTTTCGATCGAAAAGGTTCAATGATTCACGTCCAACAACTATCTTGGATCTGACAAACAGTTACGGGCCTTATCTATTGTGGTAGCTTTCCAGAATATTAATTAATAAATTTAGACCTCTGAAACAGCGCTCTGTGATAAGCCAACTATATAGAAACTGGGCGTGCAGCTGGGCCCAAATTTAAATTAATTAAATTGCATAAGACCTACGAATGGATAACTATATATATGTGCTAGTTGGATAAAATGGCACAACATTCTGCATACCCCACTTGACGCGCAACATGGTCAACTTTGAGCAAGCCGCCGAACTCGCCAAGAACTTCGCCAAGAAGCCCACGGACTCTGAGTTTCTTGAGTTCTACGGTCTATACAAGCAGGCCACCGTTGGCGATGTTAACATCGAAAAGCCGGGAGTGCTGGATCTGAAAAAGAAGGCCATGTATGAGGCGTGGAACTCGCACAAGGGCCTGTCCAAGGATGCTGCCAAGGAAGCATACATCAAGGTCTACGAGAAGTATGCGCCCAAATACGCCTAAACGATGAACAGCAGCAAGATTAAAAATCATTTTACATGCACAATAAATATTGAATCTTACCCAAAACAATCAACATAAACTCTACGTCAAAAAGCTTTTAGAAAGCCGCCTACGACTGTGGCATGGCCACAACGGCAGCAATTAGCGGCTTGGCCTGGCCCGTTTTCAGCAGCATCACGCGTATCTGAGAATTATCCGGCGTGAGGCTAGCCGGTGGCAGTTTGTCCATGGCATCCAGCACAGCGACAACCTCAAAGTCCACACGCAACGGAATGCCGGGCAGCACACTAGGCAGTCTGGCCACGGACTGTTGCATTGTGTAGTGGCGACGATCTGCGTGCAGCAGCACAGACAAATTGGAGGCCATCTTGAACGTGGATAGATTCTGCACAGTGAGGTAGAGCCGAAAAGCAGGTCCGCTGCCGCAGACCTCTGCTGAGAGCTTGACGGGCGCGTGTGTCAGATCACCCGAAATGGTGCTCTCCGAGGAGTTAATTGCATCTATAGTGGCACGTGCCGCTGTGTGGCGCAGTCGCCACAATTCCACCTGAAAGCTAGCATAGCTGGCTGCAAGAAAGGAAGCATTAAATGTGCTCAGATTACAGAGCACACACACATCAACATACATTTGGCCTGTTGTTTCTCCCGCGCCGCCTGCTCTACAAATATGGAGCTCTTCTTGGACTTGTCGAGAATGGCGGCATCCACAATCTTGTGCGGCACCCCCGAGTCCTTATTGGCCAATGCCAATGCTTTGTAGTCGGGTTCAAAACGTGTGATGCGTCGTAAAATCTTTATAATCATTTCGCCCGTCTGTGTGATCAGGGTGAGCACATGATCCTCCATGCCCATGCGACCATATATCATGCCAGCCACGGTCTGCGGCACTACAAATTCATCCACCTGATAGCGATTAAGAAAGAAAATCACTTTGCCGCCTTGCAGGGCGACGGCCACCAGTGTAATGCCCAGGTGTGTGAGCATCAGGGGCAAGATGCAAACGGGCGCCGCATCCAGTTGCATCTGGTAGAGCAGCTTACCGCGCTTCGAACAGCACAGGTAGCGATGCTCCATGGTGGTTATAACGATTGTCTGATCGATTGGCAGCAATTGCAGACCTGTCAACGGAGTGGACAACTTAAAGATCTCCTGCCCCTCGCTGCTGGACTTGCGCAGCAGATAGACGCCGCCATTGCGGGTGCCCACCACAATGCAAAAGTCCGTCTCGTAAGTGCCGTGCACAGAAATCAGACTCGGCACGGCTGTCTCATAGCTACAAGTTTTGGCCTGGTAAATCAAATTGAAGCCTTGCGGTTCCAGCACAAATATGCGACCAGAGTCTGTAGCCAGAACCAAGTGCGATGGCGGATTCACGTTGCTAGAGACACGTTTCAGGCAACACATGGCCACAATATTGCCCGTGCGGCCCACGGGCGAATCCTTGTGTGTGCTGACAAATGCCTGAAATGGTATAGAGATGGATATATATGATACAATTTATATGGAACGGCTTACGGCTCGCTCATCTTCGGGAAGCTGCAGTAGCCGTTGCGTTTTACGCGACAGTTTGGCGTGGTCAACATCCTTGAGCAACTGCAGCAGTCCGTCGTGTGCTTCGGCTTTCATGACGGGCAGCTTACGCCACACCTCCAATTCCAGCTCATCGGCATCCGAGGCGGGTATGGTATACTTGAAGTAGGGCTTCAAATGGCGATAGAACAGCACTGATTCTGCAATGGCTACGGCTATCACTGCAGAATGAGAAAACAAAACAAAAAAGTTGCATTGTAATCGGGCAATGACTGGTGTCCACATGCACACCCGGCGTCTTGGGCTCCGATTCGTCAATGTAGAGGCTCTCAATAGCCGTGGGAATGCCGGGCAACGGCTGCTCTTGTTTTAGTTGCAGGCCGCGGAATACTTTGAGCTTGGCACTGGGCGCCTCGTTGTCCTCCAGTGAAATGTCAGCAGCCAGCAGCCGCACGTAACCATCGCATTGTACGTCGCTGAGCGTCATGCAACTGGACAAAGTTGACAGGAGCTGGGGCGCTTCATCCCCAATGTCGACGTGCAGCCAATTGGATACCGATGCAGTAGCCATTGTATTCAATTTTTATATTTCTAGAGCAGTCTTAAGATAACCACTTGCACAGGCAGTGAGAAAATTTAAAGATTATTTATTGTCAGATTTGTTTTGGTTTTTCCTGCTTAGCAACGAGCTCTTTTTAAATTGCGCCAACAATTGTTATCGATTTCACCATAATATCGGTGCATATCATCGTGGCTCCGATATATTCGATTCATATCAAAGTTAATAATTTATTCGAGTATTACAATTGTTTTATGATATCAAATCAAATGAACATTGGGTTTTCTTATGGCCGCATAACATCTAAAGTGAACACAAATGAGCAAAAAATAAATAAATAAAAAATATAACTATGGAACTGGAACTAGTTTGCTCATTCACATAGAGCTTGCAGCCCTGGTACGAGCGCATTTTGTGTGAATGGTTAAAAGAAGCAAAAACGCGAGCAACGCGACGAATGTAAATTATAAATAACAATAATTTAGTGATAAGTTGATAGTTGGTGCCATATATGCAAAGTGATGACGGCACATGAAAACGAGGTCCAGCTTTTCAACCGGGGTGAGAAAGTCCTGTGCTACGAGCCCGACGAATCGAAGGCTAGGGTCTTGTACGACAGCAAGGTAACCCACGCACACACACAGACAGACATGCATACACGCACACAGCGACAGCGTGCCGAAACGTCAAAGAAAAATGCCGAACACGAGGTGGCTGTTTCGATTTTTCATCACGAAAAACTGCTCTTTTCTATAGGTTTTGGCCGTGTACGAGCGAAAGGACGCTGCAAATCTACGCTACTTTGATTACAAAATCCATTTTCAAGGCTGGAACTCATCCTGGGATCGAAATGTTCGTGCCGCCAGTCTGTTAAAAGACAACGAAGAAAATCGCAAATTGCAGCGTGAGCTGGCAGAAGCCGCACAGCTACAAAAGTGAGTAAAATACGCGTGTGTGTGTGCTCGTGTGTGTGCATGTGTGTGACCGTTTGTTTACAATTTTCAGAACTGGCGGCTACTCGTACAAAGACTCTAAGACTCCGACGTTGCCATCCAGCAAGAAGAAGCGCTTGGCCAGAGGTGGACACGTAGAAGATCCCACAGCCGATCCCCTAGACATATCGCTGGCACATTTGCCGGCGACACCAAAACCCGAACTGCCGGCACAACAGAAGAGAGGCGCCCGCTCGCGGGATGGCAGTGGCAATCGGTCGCGGGATGGTAGTGGCAATCGGTCGCGGGATGGCAGTGGCAACCGGTCGCGGGACAACAGTAGCGGCCGCAAAAAGCAGCGCGACAAGTCGAAAGGCGGTGATAAAAACGATGATGGTGAGCGAAGATCTGCTAGATCTCAGTTTAGCCTGCATGTCTCACCTAAAGATACGCACACAACTGATGCAGAAAAACGGATCCATCAGGAGGACCGTGTGATGCTGCGCATCAGCGAGCGGCTGCGCGAATACATGGAATACGACTACAACATGGTCTGCAAGCTTGAAAAGCAGCACGCATTGCCCGCTCGCACGCCCATTGTGACCATATTGGAGAACTTTGTGAAGCAGCGCGCCGTCGAGCTGGCCATTGGCATCAAGCAGGACAGTTCTCGAGCCCGCAACACTCTGAGCCGTAATGCGCGTATGGAGCGTGAGTACGATCGTGTGATGTCCATGTGAGTATTCGGTGTTACATGAAAAAATCCTCACTTGTATTATGATTCCATTTGTGAGCTATTTTATTTGATCAATTATTTGATCTTCGCAAATTTAATCATTTACCTTTGCTCTACAGCGTGTGCATGCTGAAGGAAGTCGTGGATGGGTTACGCATCTACTTTGAGTTCCACCTCGAGGACCATCTGCTATACAGAGAGGAAAAGGATTATGCCTTGGGCTTCCTCACCGACAACAACATGAAGAACTGCAGCCTGCTATTAAACAAATCCTACGAATTCATTAATCCCAGCGGTGATAATGAGCTCATATCCATGGCTGGTAATGTAAATGGCACAAATGGAGTCGACGGCCCTCTACTTGGCGACATCGAGTACGAGAATCAGCTGCAAAAGTGCCTTCGATACATTGAGAAAAATAGCGCAAAGAATAATATTGCACTAGCCTATACCGCCGCCTACAAGCTGCCCATGGAAATGCGCGGCTTTCTCCGCGAGACCTTCAGCTGGAGTCTGCTGTCCGAGGAATCGCCGCCGGAGAAATCTATAATATTTGGAGCACCGCACTTGGCGCGCATGTTAGGTGAATTGTTGCCCACACACTTGCATTTTTGACGATAATTATTTAACTGACCTCCCGTCCTGCAGTATTATTACCCGAATGTCTCAATGCCTCGCCCATATCAAATGAGAAACTGGTGGATCTGCTGCCACATCTCGACTCGTTCATTAAGTAATTGTACAATCAAATGCTGTTGCCATGGTTACTAAATTTCCTTATTTTTTTTTAGCTACCTGGAGAACCATAAGGAATGGTTTGACAAACAGAACTATGTGGATCCTTTGATAGACCAGGGAGAGAATTATCTGTTTAAGAATTTTAAGGAACTTAGATCTCCGCTAAGCTGTAGAAAATAGTTGCACCACCAGGTATATCTTCAATGCTGATTCAAACTTAATTTCGTATAATTTAAATTTTAGACAGCAATAAGAGGCAGAAGGCAGCATATCCAACCCCATAAAGAATATACATTCTCAATCAGCTTCAATAGTCGAGTCGATTTAGCTATGTCCGTCCGTCTATACGCCTGCCCGTCCGTCTATACGCCTGCTCGTCCGTCTATACGCCTGCCCGTCCGTCTATACGCCTGCTCGTCCGTCTTTACGCCTGCTCGTCCGTCTGTACGCCTGCCCATCCGTCTATCCGCTAGCCCGCGTCTTTGTCCGTATGTATTAACGCGTCGGTCTCAAAATCCGCGCTGTATCATTTTTTGATTAGTTGTCGCGTTGCCCAAGAAATTGATATCGAAATCCTAATTTTGTTGAGCTAACAGAATTTGATACGTAGATTCTAGAATAGTGTATACAGATCAAGTATATGTATAGAGTTTTCCTTTTTAAATTTACTTTTAAAAAGTTTAAAGCAAACGAGCTCGTAGCGCGAGCCAATGGTTCAGGGTATTCCTTAGTCGGGAACTGCCGGCTAGAGTCTCTCACTTGTTTTATTTTGTTTTAATTTATTTATTATGCATTTTAAAGCTTGATTTTTTATTTAAGAATTGTAGTTTGTCATTTTTTTTTATCAGTACCAATATCAATACATATATCAATTATGATTTTGGTTTTTAACTACACAATTTGTAAATAACGCGCGTCTATAAAAAGAACTCTCCTACACATGTATAATCGAATAATGTCTAAAACTAGATGTTAATGTTAATATGAAAAAGACAATTTTTAACGTTTCCTTTCTTTTAATACTAAGTTAGAGTTGAGTAGTTTTACTAACTAGTATTTTTTTTTTTTTTTGTTTTATTTTTGTGCTCAAATACATATATATATTTAAGAATTTCAACAATATTTGTCATGCCTTAACGATTAGAATGTAAGAGGTCCTTGGAAACGATGAAAAGTGTGCAAAATATGTGAAAAACCTTTTGGATTGAAACACATTTGTGACGAATCCACGACGCACCTGTTTCAGCGGTTTCTCAATCTGGAATATTTTACGTGTGTACTTTGGAATGTGCTGGAAATCATCGGACCCATCGTTGGACCCACTCTAAACTAGTTGCTACTTGGTGTATAACTGCTCATAAATAACTCTGGGAGCCATGGATCGGGCTTGTGCTACTTTAACAATAATATGGAGTAGTTTGTGCAAAATCATCCTGCCTAGAAATTCGAAATGTTTTGTATTAATTTGTTGTTTGATGTCGTTTGCTTGGACGGCTTAGATTAGATGCGTTTGTAACTTGTTGTCTTTGTTCAATGAGTTTGTAAACTTGGGACGTTAACTTGGACGATGCCTCCTATTCCTATTCATCCGCGACTTCACTTCTGCCGCTTCGTGGCGCTGCTCGCCGTGGGACGCATAAAACTGCTGACGGAACGATTACGCTGCTGTTGCTGCTGCTGCGGCGGATTATTGTTATTGCTGCTCTTGGACTGTTGATTCAGCACATTCTTCACCAGCATCGCACTGCGCGCCGCTGTCAGTCGGGAAGCGACAGCTGAGGCTGTGGGCGCCGCCGTTTGATTCTCTTTAAAGCTTGTGCTGCTGCCCAACGGCTGTGCCTGGGCGCTGCGCTGACCGGACGACAGTTTGCTGCGCACGAGTATCACGCTGGGACCCACACTGGAGCCGCTGCTGCTGCTGCGACTGGCCGGCACGCCCCTTCCGGCTGTTGGACGCGTATTCTGTGCGGCCAACGGCCGTTTGCTGGGCGATGAGTCCACGGATACGGTGGCGGTGCGCTGCACTGCGGGCAGACGCCTAACCACGGTCTGTGTGGATGCGCCGCTGTTGATGGAGGACCTCGAGGAACGTAAACTGTTGCGCGAGCTGCTGCGCTCTACGTCGCGTTGCTTGGGTGGCGCGCCCAAAGCATAATTGGGCGCAAATTGTGGCGGCTCGTGTGGCGATCTGCGTACGCCCGTCGACGAGGATGATCGTGTACTAGTAGGCGTGGCACTCAGCAAGGGGCTGCCATTGGGCATGCGCAGCGGCCGGCTGGCGGAGAGGCTGCGCTTCGGCAGCGCAGCAGTTGACGTCGCCGTCGTCGTCGCTGGCATTTGGTTTTGTGACCTCTGGCTGGCTTGGACTGGATTCGTTGAGCTGCCGCGCAGTCGCGACTGCTGCAGTCGATCCGCCAGGCGGCTGCCCATTGCGCTGATGCTGGTGGTGCTGGTCTTTTGCTTGGAGAGCGGCCGCGAACGCTGCGTGGGTGCATCATTGGCCTCGTTGCAGGAGGAGTTCGTGCTTTCACCTTTGCCGTGCGAAGGCGTGTCCGATACCAGGCTTTGCGTCTCCTCGAAACCCTCGTCGTTGAGCTCGTGATGACCGCTGGCGCTTAGCTTCAGTTTGCTCGGAGTCAGATCACGCGGCGGACTCCAGGGGCGCTCTGGTGTGCCTGTGGGCGATTTTAGATTTCGTATGGCCTCGCGCACATCCTCCTGGTTGATGGAACTAATGTGTCGCCCCACCTTCTCCAGCTTGGTAATGTTGCGTGCCTTCTCCGGCTGCGGTTCCTCCTTTTGCAGACGACGTATCTCACTGGCGCTGGCGGATTGTTTGATGTCCTGCGTGGGTGTTATTAGCTCCTCATTGCCGCTGCTGTAGTCCGTGGGTCGCTTATAGCGACGCGTACGACGCGCCAGCGCGTATCTATCGAAGTGACCCGGCACATCCTGCTCGGTGGCTGCTGTGCTGACACTGCTCTTCTCCTCCGGCGCGTGCTTTGGCTTATCCGTCAGGCTGACCGTCACCACCGTGGTGTTGGGTGTGGCTATGACACGTCGCGTCACCGGCGGCGTCTCAATGTTGTCCGCATCAATCTCCTTGGAGTTGGCGGACGTGTACTGTGACTCGTTGTGACTTTTGTGATGATCCAGCAAACTGGCAAAGGTGTCATCCTGCGAGGGCGACTTCTCTACCGGCTTGGGCTCCACTCTCACGACCGCTTCTGGCTGCAGGTCCATGCTGGATGGACGCCGCACATAGATCTTCAAGCGGTCCGTATTGCCATCGCTGCCGCCCAGCTTTTGTATGGACTTGCGGCGATCCTCCTCGGCAATGGATTGCAGCGGACTGGCACTTTGTTGTGTCTGCTCCTGGGAGCGTTGCCGACGATATTGGCGCAGTTCCTCGGCGGTGGTCAGATGCGGTTGTGCCGACTGTGCCGCATCCGCTATGGCCTGTATATTGCCCACCACGTCTGTGTGCTCCAGCGTCTGCGATGGCTTCCAGTCGGCATAGACGCGCTGATATCTGCTGGTGGAATGCGTTTGCTGCTTCTCCTGCTCCAGATCCTTGCTCTGACTGTTAGTTGGGTTAGTGATCGTTGGAGTCGTCAACGGCGTTGTTGTTGCTGGCATTATCTTCTCCTCTGGCAATGGATCCAGTTTTCGTTCGTTTTCTATAAGAATTGTGATGGGGATTAGCTAAACCAGGATTACATCCAGCTGACTGCTGCTTACCAGTTTCGTTTTCGAGCGATCGCCGATTCGCATTAACCAGGCGACGTTTCCGCTTGTATTCCTCGTTCTGTTTCTCATCGTTTTCGTTGGACTGCAGCCAGGTTTCGATTTTCTGGCGGAATTCACGGGATATTCTGCGGGTCGATAACGATTTTAGTATTTTTTACCTAAATTTCTTAAACTTAACTAAGATAATGATTAATTATTTTATTTTATTTACACTATATTTCTGTACTCTTTTAAAGTGTATTGAAATATTGTTCTGAAATGCGCCATACAAAAAACAAAGCTGCTCCTCTTGTCCGTCTGTCAGTCCGTCCCGTCTGTCTGTCCTTCCGTCTGTCGGTCCGTCCGTCCGTTTGTCTGTTTCCACGCAAAGTAGTCCATTAGGTTTGAAACTATTGTCTTGAAACATTATATGGGCCCATCTTTCTGTCGCAGGCATCACATTTGTCGGAAGTGGTCCGATCGGAACAAAGGAAAAATTTGTCGAAGAGTAGGTTCTTGCATGGAAAACCTTTCTGCTTATAAGGATTTCTCGGCATTTATTGGTTAAGCTATGATTTCAGCATCTTAGCCAAATCTTATCAATATATAAATATTAGAATATATCAGTCGAAAAGGGTATTAAATCTTCGGCGTAAGGAATATCTCTTTACTTTCTCGTCTAAAAACAAATTTTTGCAATCATAATTAAAATTTGTAAAGCAAAGTTTTCTTTTCCAAAATCAAATCTTTACAAGGTTTAAAAATTTTTTTTTTTTCAGAAATATTTCCATTTTTTATGGTATTTTTTTAATATTAATTAATTAATTTTTGAATAAATATAGCAAATACCCACCTCGGTTTCGCATCCTCGTGCGCTGCGTGCGTTTGTTGCTGTTGCTGCTGGAGACTCGTTGGACCATTGCTGATGGGCGTATTCGCTGCCGTTGTGGGCGTGGCCGTGCCGCTGCTGGCCAGCGGCGATTGCAGGCGATCATGCGACAGCTGCTGCTGCTGCTGTTGGAGCAGCGGAGCCGGAGAGCTGGCGCGCTCCCGATCAAGACCAAAGTCAATATTAAGTAGATCCGGACGCTTGCGACTCGAGCTACCAGAGCGTGCGCGTCGTGCCCAGGAGCGGTCTGTTAGATGGATAAATTCAGCTATGAAAAGCGGCAGTAATAGCTACAGAAACCGGGAACACTTACCCAGACTGCCGTAGGCGGCCTTGCGCTCGCGACTGATGTGGCCGGGGCCATCGTGTGGTCCGGTGGAGCTGCGCAGATACTCCATGAGGTCGTCCTCGCCGGCTAGCACGCGACTGGGGCGCCGGCGTAAACTGCCATTGGGTGTGATGTCTGGCGAGGCGCTGTACTCCTGCTCGAGCCGTATGAAGCCGTTGCTAATCTCACCCGAGCCCAGCTGGCGTCTGCTGAGCGCGGGGCTGGCGCGCGGATCGAACAGGCTGTCGCCCAGAAATGAGTCGGAATCGGAGACGGGCGTGCCCGCTTGGCCCACTGCAAAGGATAAGGATCAAGGAATAAAAACAATATTCCATTATAATAGACTACAGATACGTACCTTGCCTGGTTCGTTTGGCCATTTGCTCCATCCGGATTCTGTTACGCTCCTCCGCCAGTTTCTCCTGCTGCACGCGTCGCTCGTTCTCCTTGATGGCCTGCCTAAATTTATCACAGAAGCTCTGAAAGATCTTGAAGCACTCCTCCAGCTTGAAGGTGGCCGCATCTTCGCAAAAGAATTCAGCCAACTTGAGCCGCAACACATCCACCTGCTTCATGCCCGCCTGAAGCACCGCCATCTCCGAGTCGGCGGCAAGCAGAAACTCGGACATCTGCTCCTTTATATCCGCATCCGTGGCGGGCAGCTCAATTTGCCTTGTAATCTTCCTGATCCGAGTCTCCAGAGTGCCAATCTCGCTCTTGATTTGCTCTGAGGTGGTTCTGTGGAGTAAGGAGGTGCTCTTGTGAGTGTGCCTCTCGAAGAGATGGTATTCCTCCCCCCCACTTACTTGCTGGCATTTTCGAGGGTATTCAGCTGCGTGGTGAACTGCAGTAGCTCCGGATTGCAGCGCTCCACCTGAAGGGCCACAAAGTGTATGAGATTCATGCCCGGCTTGTTGGCCCGGATATCTGTT